AAACTGGTTATTGCACTTTGTTTTACTACTTTATCTCTTTTATTTTTGTATTTGTATTTTCTTTTCTGTGAATGCACATATGCATCTCTCTGTAAAATACTTTGTAAACACTTTTAAAAGGCGCTATATAAATAGAGCTTTAAACAATCAGACCTCCACAACTGACCGATGAAAATACTATGTGAAATCTAATTGGCTGAGCGGGAACTGAACCTGGAATTATTTTGACAATCAAAGATGAATCTTGAATTTATTTCCAGTTTAATAATATTTAGCAATGTTAATGAAATGTGGCTTATGTTAGAAATGGCTAGGAATTGGGTGCTTGGATGGTACTAACCTCTGTCCAACTGGTTGGTCTCTGAGCAATTTATCTAAAAACAACATATTATAGCCTATGGCTCTAAAGACTTCATATAAAAGATCAATGTTATGTCACAATATGTCAGATATTTAAAAAATTGCAATAAATTCTCAATTGGTATGATGGCAATAGTAACAATTCCCATCAAATCAACATCAAATGCAAAAATAGACATAAATAATGCAAGATATAACACAATAAATGTTTTGATAGAATCACTGTTTGGACATTTATTGGGAGTTTCTTTTTTTTTTTTTAATCCAGTGTTTGTTTTCAGTTCTGATTTTAGTTAGATTTTTTTTTCATGAAAACCCTATAGCTACACATTCAATGACACTCTCGAACAGTGAATATACAGTTATATGACAGTTACATGTAATTACATTGTCTGCAAATGCATTAAACCCACAGAATATAATGTAGTAATGTTATGACAAATATGAGAAATTCCTTATAGTGTTATATTTGGTCTCCACATCTTAAGTATAGAGAATAGTGCATCTGACCCGTATCTAAATCTGTCCTTAATCAGAAGATATAGATATATATATATATATTTCAATCCAAGTGCACAATAGGCTATATGACTACATGAACTTTAAGAATCATATAGGCCTACTTTTTTGTTTGTGTTTAGATAAATCACTCAGAGGGGTTTGACCAAAATGTTAAACTAGGTTATTTACAAATAATCCAAGCACCCGATTAATTTCTAATATTTGATTATTATGACTTATTATTATTATTATTATCATCATTATTATGACGCGAGTCAGGTTTTGTGTGAGAGCAAAGGAAATCCGCGTGCGAGCGGGGAGATTCGCGCTAGCGCATTATATGAATGTGCTTTCGCGCTACAATAATGCGCTCTCGACATTTGTCATTAAAATCACGCCATAGCTGGCAGGAAATTAATTAGCATTTTTAACAGCTCTTCTGCTGGTTTAAAATAATAATTGATATTAAACCATTAATATAATAATTGATACATTTGATTTTTGACTCTTTTCTTAGAAATGGTTTGAAATTTGAAAGGTTGAAATTTGAAATTTTATTTACTTTTATTTTTTATATATATATTTTTTTGAAAACCTGTATCTGAACTGTAAATCGTGCTTTTTACAGTCATTTTACCATTTAATATGTTACTATAGACATTGCCCCACCCCACTCATCTTAAAAAGTCTTAAAGGGGTCATATGATGCAATTTAAATTTTTCCTTTCTCTTTGGAGTGTTACAAACTCTTGGTGCATAAAGAAGATCTGTAAAGTTGCAAAGACTAAAGTCTCAAATCCAAAGAGATATTCTTTATAAAAGTTAAGAGTTAACCACGCCTACCTAAAACGGCTCGTTCTAACACGCCCCCACATATCTACATCACTATGTGAACACAACGTGTAAAAAGACAGTATAAGTCATTATAATCAGTAATTATGTCCCCACTGGATGCAACAAATGCCTCGTTTGTAATAGGTTTTAATGTTTTTGTCTCGTTGCTCCGGCCGGGACACGGCATCAACTCAGTATGGTGAGGAGCGTAACATTTCCATCACATGCTTGAGGTATACGGCCAATCACAACGCACTGGATAGCTGGCCAATCACAGCTCACCTCGCTTTTTCAGACCGATGAGCTTTGTAAAAATCAACGCGTTTCAAAAAGGCGGGGCATACAGGAGAAACAATAATGTACAGTATGTGGAAAATAATGTGTTTTTTTTACTTTAAACCACATAAACACATTTCATTACACCAAATAATGTTCTTTTTAGCAGCATCATATGACCCCTTTAAATTTGAGCTTAAAAATCATGCAGAAACTCTGTGTGCTATAAAATAAACACGATTACATAAACAAGGAAAACAATTCTAAATAAATATTACAAAGGTGTACAAAACTTATATTTTTGTGCAAAAGATAAACAATATTCCAGTTTTGGAGGCCATAATGTCAACCATTAAACACTGAACTGGAGGACTAGATACAAAAAGCAACAGTCTGAACACAAAGAGGTCTGAGACACCATTACTGCTTAAGTGGACCAAAAAAGGATCCGAGTCCTTTTTCAGGAAGTGTGATAGTGTGAACACAAAGAAAACTGGGTCCTTTTCACTTGGTCCACCTCTTGGTCCACTTAAAGGGGTCTGGGTTTGGTTCTTTTAAAGAGGACTCAAGTGTGAAAGCAGCGTTTGTGAGCACAGTGCTGTTTTGTGTACAGCATTACCGGGGAAACCGCTATTTTACCGCTCCAAAAGCAGCACCTAGTGGCAAAGAATGAATTTGCATCTTCATTCAGACCAACACGAAAAGAGCAACAAGTGGGTGGGCAATATGCTAATGTTTCATGTTGACGTCAAAATATTTATAAATCATGGTCCTATTTTTGTGCTGAATTTGATATGGATTTAAAAAGTGTGTTATATCAGAATAATCTATATTGCTTCAGCATGTTTAATTCATAGGGTCAGAGAGATGGTCAAACATGATAACTTAAAATTGTAAAAACTGGTTTTGGTGCAAAAACCTTGACTAACATCACAGTAGATTCAAGAGGGAAGAAAAAAAAACCTGTACAAAAGAACTCGAAAGGTGACTCTTCCGGAGCTCATTTGTGGCTAAATCCGATTGCGGCTTTTACATTAATAAAGTCATTATGATGGTCAAAAGATCAGAGCATTAACTGATGGAAGAACGAGCAGAGTGAACTGACTCACTAAAGAAGCTTAAATGAAGACCGAGATAGTGAGTGCAGCAAACGTCAAACTACTTTCACCTGCTGCAGTGGGAATTGACTGAATTGTAAAAGGATCAGAAGGTAAAAAGAAGGATTGTGTGTGTCGTCACCTTTCTGGCCTCCTCTAACTCCTGCTGTAGCTTGTCCTTCTCCAGGCCCAGTTCAGTGAGCTGCTCCAGAAGTCGACTATTTGCTCGATTTGACTCCTGCTCAGCAAGAAGTAGTCAAATCATTTTTATGAATGCTTGAAATACAAATGCTAAAATTCATATCTTACTTAACTACATTAATGAAAGGTTTTTAAAAACATTTTAATAATTTTTCATCAGAACAGACTTTCTCAATGTCCGAAACAATTGACTTTTAAGCAGTGGGTAAGGAAATATAATATTAACTAATAATTAGTGCTGTCAAATGATTAATCGCATCCAAAATAAAAGTTTTTGTTTACATAATATATATGTGTGCACCATGTATATTTATTATGTATATATAAATAATAGACACACATGCATGTATATATTTAAGAAAAATATGTTATATTTGTATATTAAATATATTTATATATAATATAAATTATAAAAACATATACATGTAAATATTTTCAAAATATATACTGTATGAGTGTGTATTTATATATACATAATAAATATACACAGTACACACACACACATATATTATGTAAACAAAAACTTTTATTTTAAATGCGATTAATCGTTTGACAGCACTACTAATAATATTACAGCCCAATGATTCTGGATAAAATACAGCATTTTATTTAGCAGACCAACACGAAAAGAGCAACAAGTGGGTGGGCAATATGCTAATGTTTCATGTTGACGTCAAAATATTTATAAATCATGGTCCTATTTTTGTGCTGAATTTGATATGGATTTAAAAAGTGTGTTATATCAGAATAATCTATATTGCTTCAGCATGTTTAATTCATAGGGTCAGAGAGATGGTCAAACATGATAACTTAAAATTGTAAAAACTGGTTTTGGTGCAAGAACCTTGACTAACATCACAGTAGATTCAAGAGGGAAGAAAAAAAAACCTGTACAAAAGAACTCGAAAGGTGACTCTTCCGGAGCTCATTTGTGGCTAAATCCGATTGCGGCTTTTACATTAATAAAGTCATTATGATGGTCAAAAGATCAGAGCATTAACTGATGGAAGAACGAGCAGAGTGAACTGACTCACTAAAGAAGCTTAAATGAAGACCGAGATAGTGAGTGCAGCAAAAAACCTTGACTAACATCACAGTAGATTCAAGAGGGAAGAAAAAAAAAACCTGTACAAAAGAACTCGAAAGGTGACTCTTCCGGAGCTCATTTGTGGCTAAATCCGATTGCGGCTTTTACATTAATAAAGTCATTATGATGGTCAAAAGATCAGAGCATTAACTGATGGAAGAACGAGCAGAGTGAACTGACTCACTAAAGAAGCTTAAATGAAGACCGAGATAGTGAGTGCAGCAAACGTCAAACTACTTTCACCTGCTGCAGTGGGAATTGACTGAATTGTAAAAGGATCAGAAGGTAAAAAGAAGGATTGTGTGTGTCGTCACCTTTCTGGCCTCCTCTAACTCCTGCTGTAGCTTGTCCTTCTCCAGGCCCAGTTCAGTGAGCTGCTCCAGAAGTCGACTATTTGCTCGATTTGACTCCTGCTCAGCAAGAAGTAGTCAAATCATTTTTATGAATGCTTGAAATACAAATGCTAAAATTCATATCTTACTTAACTACATTAATGAAAGGTTTTTAAAAACATTTTAATAATTTTTCATCAGAACAGACTTTCTCAATGTCCGAAACAATTGACTTTTAAGCAGTGGGTAAGGAAATATAATATTAACTAATAATTAGTGCTGTCAAATGATTAATCGCATCCAAAATAAAAGTTTTTGTTTACATAATATATATGTGTGCACCATGTATATTTATTATGTATATATAAATAATAGACACACATGCATGTATATATTTAAGAAAAATATGTTATATTTGTATATTAAATATATTTATATATAATATAAATTATAAAAACATATACATGTAAATATTTTCAAAATATATACTGTATGAGTGTGTATTTATATATACATAATAAATATACACAGTACACACACACACATATATTATGTAAACAAAAACTTTTATTTTAAATGCGATTAATCGTTTGACAGCACTACTAATAATATTACAGCCCAATGATTCTGGATAAAATACAGCATTTTATTTAGAAAATAAAAAGTTACAAATGCCTTTTAATTTGTTTTTTATAGTTAACAGGTGCCAAAATACCTGTAGCTGTGAGTTGAGATCATCTTTCTGCGCCAGGAAGCTCTCCTGCTCTGTGCATCTCTGCTGAAGCTCTGCATTTAGTGCCAGATTTTGCTCTCTCAGCAAATTCTGTTCCTGTGTCTTTACTGTTTGGATCTGTAAAAAACACACACAGTGTTTCAGATATATACCCCAAAGAACCCAGGACAACAGAATTAAGTCTTATTCAGTGTAAGCGAGAAAATGCCAACAGAAGACAAAAGAAGAATTATTAAGGAACAGAAAATACTAGAGAGCAGCTGAAAAATGCAATTCAGCACAGCGCTGAATACAATATAAATATAAATGTACCCATGGGTGCTTTCAAGCTAAATATAAACCTTCATGCATGATGTAATACACATATTTATGTATGAATGTGTGAACATACATACACGCATGCAAAAAGAAATAAGGCTAAACAAAAACACACATAGACATAAATATATTAATCACAGAAACTTTTTAAAACTGCAGCCTTAGTGTTCTTGGACTTTGGTCTCATATTTTATTCATGGTGTCAATTAAATTATTTATACGCATTTAAATATATTTAAATATTAATATTTAGGTATTGCTAACAAACAATAATGGGTTCGATTCCCAGGGAGTGCTTGTACTAATGTAAATATATACCTTAAATGCATTGTAAGTCATTCTGAAATAAATAAGCATAATTATTTTGGCTGGTGAGCAATAAACTAAAACAGTATTTAAATGTGCAGTTTTGAATTTCAGTTTTAAGTTATCACAGATACTTGCATTAAAGACACTAATCATACTGCGATTAGAAATTCATACAAAACAAGATTTTAAAACAAAAGGTAACACTTTATTTCAAGGTGTCCTTGTTACGTTGCATGTACATACTATTTTAATAACAATAAATTATGCATAATTACATGCAAGTAACCCTAATCCTAACGATATGTTAAATACATGTTGTTAATTAATATTACTCAGTACTAAAATGTATAATTACACTGTAACGACACCTTAAAAATAAAGTGTAACCCAAAACAATGCAACTTTATGAACCTCCATGAATTTCTTTTTAGATACTGACAATTTTTCAGAGAAGAAAGTAAAAGAAAATATGGCATCAAACAAACTGGTGTGAATTGGGAGTGATTTGTCCAAGTCTTCAGTTTTTAGTAGTAATATCGGCAGTGGCAATAAAGTTGATAAAAGTGACATTAGTATGCGTGTATGAACAGTCAATGGTGCAAAGAGCATGTGTGTTAGACCAAACGCAGTCATTGAGTGAAGATGATGATGCAGGAACTGGGGTTGATGAAGGTCGTGATGCTGTATCATGGTCAGGTACCTGTTCTAGGGCTGCTAGATTTGTCCTGAGAGCATCGTTCTCACTCAGCATGCCCTCCACCTGCTCCTGACTGACCGCGCTCTGACATGCTACCTGCAGCTCCGCCCAAACACAAAACCAGCCCACAAGACCCAGACAGAGACAGAGAAACCAAGAGAAAGAAAGACAAAAAAGCAGAAAGTAACACCAAATGAAGGAACAAAAGAATAAAGTACAATGAGAGGAAGAGGATATTAATCAAAAAGAAAATGAATGAATGAAATAAAAAGAATAAAATATGAAAAATATGAAAAGTTTGAAAATAAATGTAATAAAAATATGAAAAATAACGAATGAAAACAAATAAGGGAATAAACCAAAAACATATATATTTTTTATATTAAAAAAGAATGAAATAAATCAATGAAAAGGGAAAACATTTTGGGGAAAAAAACATGAACAAAAAAATAAAGAAGCAAAAAGAACAACAAAAACATGAAAAAAGAACGAAAGAAAAAAAACAGATGAGGAAATTAAGCAAAAATTAAATTAATGAAAAAATACAAAAACCATTTTGAAGAAATAATATATAATATATGAAAGAAATAAAAATTTCATATATAGAAACAAAAAAGCAAAAAGAATACATGGAAGGGAACATGTACAGAGAAAGAAGGAGATGTGATTGATGAATGAAGACATGTCCAGCGGCAGCGTGGGATTGTAGGGGAAGTGTTGAACACAAGAAGAATAAAGCCCGAGGGGGGGAATGAGAGCAAGAGATGATAAAGAAAGAACGCCCAAAACAAGTGAAAAGAAGAGAGAAGAAAACAGGCAGAGTTAGAAAATCCACATCAAACAGAAGAGACCCAGTCAAGCAGTTCTGAACGGAAAAACAGAACAGTGAGCATCTTCATCCTTATCTGCTTGCTGCTTAATTAAGATTTGTGACCTCACGAAGGAAGTGAAAGACATTTACGGTGGCAGGACCTGCAGTAGGGCCGACGGCAGTAAAAGAGCGGCCCTTCCCTCAGGGGCCCCGGCGGCGCGCGTGTGCCCCTAAGCCACCTGCACTGAGCCCCACTAATCCTTAATTACTCAGCTGATCCTGAGCACCATCCTCCATAAATGCTCAATTAAACAGGCTACTCTCTGGATAATTATAAACTTCACAAACTTCTCCTTAAGCACAAAGAGTTTGTTATCAGCAGAAAGACTGGTGTGTCTTCTGGTTCATATTAAAGGGATAGTTCAGCCACAAATTAATATTCAGTCACTGTTTACTCACACTTATGTTGCTCCAAACCTATTTGACTTAGTTTAACAAATGTTCTTAAAGCAAAAAGGAGACACTTTGAAGAATGTTTATAATAATATATATAAAAATAATAATTTTAAGTCTTCTAAATTCATAATCTTTTTAATTCATATTTGTTGACAATTTTGGTAAATGATGTAATGCTAACTTATTGACATTCATGAATATTCAAATACAGTGCACTGCAGGTTTAAAGTAGTTTGTCTTTAAAACAACCAACATACAAAAATATACATATATAATTAAATTAATAATAACTATAATAATAATAACAATTATATAATTTTTCAATGTAATGATAAATATACGATTAAAACCCTTTTTAAAAATGTCCATTAATATATTTTCTGCCAAAAAAATAAAAGTGATCTAATATCATTTAAAAACAGACATTCTATTAAAATGTGTTTACGACTCAAGAAATTCTTACATAAATCACAGATTGGTTTAGTTTGATATTACTCAAGAAGACTTGGAATTGAAGGATCCTTAGATCCTCACGTGTGTTGTGTTTTTATTTTAATGTTTTTTTTTTATTCATTTATAATCATTTATTCACATAATCATTAGTCATTCACATGGTTTATTATTTGATTATGATTTATTATTTGATTATTTGTATCATTCATTTTTATTGTTTATTCATTTATTATGTTTATTCATTTCATTTATTTATTTTTTTATTAATTTTTCCTTGCTTATGCATTTTCATTGTTGTTCAATCTCATGCTTGTGGGGTTTCATGAACTGTTTTGTCTGTATGAATAGAGATAGATAAGAGGGAATGTTTATGGAAACCCAAGGTTTATGGGATGTTGCTGTGAAGCAGTTTTGGTATAACAGTACATGTTGAATTTGTGCTGGTCAGACGAAGTTTGAATATTGAGACACACGCAACTAAGATTGTTAAATAAACAATATTTTACCATAATCACTTCGTCTCCTGCTTCTGCTCTTCTCTGGCTTTTCTCGGTCAACTTCTTGACTGACTTCAGAAGACTGTTAAACACTAGTTTTGGGTATTTTTGGATACCAGACAAGACTTGCTGTTAACAAGGTTTGGGTATCAGCAGCGCTGCTGGCTAGTTGTTCTGTTACTGGACAAACTGATATTTTCTGACGGGATCTGGCGTCCGGGGCTGGATCCTAATCATTATCTGGCGTGGAGACCTGATCTAACAGAATAAAGTACAAAAGTCCTATGGTGCTGTTTTGTTATTTTTGGAGCTCAAATACTTCTGTCCCCATTCACTTTCATTGTATTGAGAAAAAAAACCCAGGACAAACTTCTCCTGTCGAGTTTCACAAAAGAAAGAAAGTCATACAGGTTTGGAATAAAATGATGGTGAGTAAATGAGAACAGAGTTTTCCTTTCTGGTTGAACTGAATAAGTAACTTTAAGGGTGCTTTCACACTAGCACTTTTGGTGCGCACCCGGGTTCGATTGACGTCAGAGTTTGGTACGTTTGGATGATGTGAACACGGTCTTCCGAACTCAGGTGCACACCCACGAACCGTACCCGAGTCCGCTTAAAAGGGGTGGTCTGGAGTACGATTCAAGTGAACTCCGGTACGTTTCGCTGCTGATGTGAACGCAATCGTACCAAATCACGGAAGTGAACGGCTATTAATGACATATTATTTGATAAAAATGTGTGTTTGTGTGTGCTTCACTCACTTTCCTGACGAGCGTGACTGACGCGCTGCAAGCAGAGAGCTGTATATCTCATTTCTGTTCGCCTTCAAAGTTATTTAGAGCATTTACAGTACATTTGTAAGGCAGACGTAAGTGCCATTATGTACTGAAGCTTTGGAAACAAAACCAACGGTTCAAAAACATAAATATAAAATTGAAGAGAGCAATGCTACGCATTTTGCCGTCTTTTCCTGCGCCATCGTCCCTAAGCAACGGGGTAAACAGCTGCTGGCTTGGTGACGCAAACAAACTGTGGTTCGGACCCAAATAATATAATGTGAACACAGTCCAGCGGGGGCAGGGGGAGGGAGGAGCAATCGAACTCTGGTTCGGACCAAGCAATCGAACCAAGTGTGAAAGCACCCTAAGACAAAAAAAAAGAGCTTTCTAAGCAAAGCTAAACTGCATTTTACAACAACACTGAAAACGATAACAGCTAAATAATCACAAAACCGCATACTGCCATTTAAAAAAAAAGTAAAATTTTCATTATTTGATTTTTTAAGTGGAACAATAAAAACATAATTGTGTTCCACGCTGATAACAACACCCACATGAGCCTTTTACGGTTTATTTAATTGAATCTGTAGGACCTACAAAAAAAGAGCTTTCTAAGCAAAGCTAAACTGCATTTTACAACAACACTGAAAACGATAACAGCTAAATAATCACAAAACCGCATACTGCCATTTAAAAAAAAAGTAAAATTTTCATTATTTGATTTTTTTAAGTGGAACAATAAAAACATAATTGTGTTCCACGCTGATAACAACACCCACATGAGCCTTTTACGGTTTATTTAATTGAATCTGTAGGACCTATTATCATTAAAATCGTACTCAATTTATGCAGATTAATTGCTTGCTCTCTTTCATTTATAAACCTGTTAGTAAACAGCAAACCAGCAGATGTGGAAATTGCAGATTCATTCTCTGGAGATGCACTAACGTCCATCTGTGATGGAATACACATTAAAAGAAATGCTAAATGAACATTTTAACCAACTATTAATCTTCTGTATTCTTCCTATTAGTGCCTTTGGCAATGTTTGGAATGGAACATAATCTGCAGTATGTACTGTATACAGCACTGTATACTATACAGTATGCAACATTAAAACATATTAAATGTAGTTGCATGACCACACTACACTAATTTGTTTAATTCAGTGACCGGTGTCCAGAATATTTCACATTTTTAACCAATCTTGTGCACTACCTGATCTTTGAGCGCATGGATGGCCATCTCATGCTCTTTCTGTTTACTCTGCAACTGCTCCTTCAGTTCAGTGACGTTCTGAAATCACACACAGGCAGAAAGATTCAATGCATTTTTAGTATGACAGTGATGGATGCAGCAGTGTGTCTACGGTCCATTAATCTCTGCAGATGTGCCTCAGTGCCAGAGTCTGATCCTGAAGCACTGACTGCAGTCTTTAGCCCACTCCCAAGGGTTTGCAAATGTTTATCATCCCTTAGTGGAAATCAATCGATCGCTCTGCGAGATGTTCAACAAATGGGTTTCAATATTAGGGAATTTGGCAGGGTGGGCCTGAGCAGATCTCACCTGGTTGGCGGCCATTAAATCGGTCTGCAATTTCTGCACACGAAGGTTTATGGATTTGAGCTCCTCCTCTTTCCTCTGTTGGATCTCATCAATTTTAGTCCTGTGGAAACAAATGCATCATATGCTATAAGGGGTTTGATGTGACTAATGTGCGGTAGGGTCTATTTCCAGGCCGTTTTTGAATACCGAAATAAAACGGCAAATTCAGCAGGAAAAACATTACGGGGGAGTGTAAATTACATCATGGGAACACATGTAATATAGAGATGGAGGTGGGTTCCAGAAGTAAAATGGCATTAAAAACTTCACAGAAAAATAAGACAAACTAACCGTGAGTTATAAATTATGTTTGTACATACAGAAGCCATAACAGTGATTTCAGCTGCATTTTTTAAATCGAATGTGCTTCAAAGAATAGTTTACCCAAAAATGAAAACTGACCAAAAATACCCTCTGGCCATCGTAGATGTAGATGAGTTTCTTCATTGGAACAGACTTGAAGAAATTTAGCATTATTCGCTTGCTCACCAATGGATCCTCTGCAGTGAATGGGTGCCGTCAGAATCGTATTTTGGCCAGAAATGGTAGTTTAAAGTTAAAACACCTTAATGATGGATTTGTTACTTACAAACACTCAGCTTTTCACTTCACAAGATGTTAATTGATGGACTGGAGTTGTGTGGATTATTACGAAGTTTTGAAACAGCTGTTTGGACTCTCATTCTGACGGCACCCATTCACTACAGAGGATCCATTGGTGAGCAAGTGATGTAATGCTACATTTCTCCAAATCTGTTCTAATGAAGAAACAAACTCATCTTCATCTCGTATGACCTAAGGGTGAGGGTGAGCTGAGGTATTTTTAAGTGGACTACTCCTTTAACGGATACAAACATGTATGATCCGTTCTGAGAGTGCAGAAAGAGTTGGATTTACATTTATTTATTTTGCAGATGCTTTATCCAAAGCGGCTCAGTTTTAGCAAATTGCCACTGAAATTTGCAACATTCAGAGGTATCATACACTCCTCAATTTAGTGCCCTGAAGATAGAAGGTCATCCACAGTCCTGATTCAAAATCCACCAATCAGGTTTATAGGCAAGTAGTTTGTTTGCTTTGTTTTTCATTTCGAATGAAATGTTAAAAATGGCTATTTATCTTCAGGTTCAAGCCTTATATCTCTCCATTGAGAAAATAAATGGGAAATACATTTCGAGAACCTAGGCTGCTAAAAACTCCCTGTTGAGCTTTATCACAAAATAACTGCACTGCTGTGTTTGTCTTTCTCACCTGCTGTCATTGTAAAGTGCTTCCTTTTCAACTTGTAGCCGCTGGAAGCTGTAAGAGAAGCATAAAGAGCCCTAAAAAAAAAACTCATACAGCAGTGATAAATAACAGGCAGCATCTCCTGATCAGGGAAAACAGGCCCGTGTTGACCAGAGGGATGTGGACCGGAGGCAGTCTGTGCTGATACAGCAGTCTACAGTGAGTGCCAGCACAACAAGTTCACGTTCAGACTCATTACTCTGAAACGGAGACTGTCGCTAAGCCACAGCTGAGTTACCACGGCACCTAGAAGGGAACACTAAGGGGTGATGTAATCACACGGAGAGTTCTGATTGGCTGAGAGCCACTGTGCAGAGAAAGAGGACTCAAGTTAAATGGAGGATTGAAAGTAATTTATCTTGTGCTTGAGGAGGTAAATGTGTTCAAATGTAACACCATCCATTAATACTGTCTTTAACTTTCATTTTTCCATATTTCAGCAGGTTTTGTGTGAAATCACTCCATCACCGTCTTCCTCAATTTATCACTGCAAGCTGTAGTCTTGCACAGGTTTAAAGGTGCACTCAGTTATCTCCCATTAACTTTTCTTTACCCCTAAAGAAATGAATATTTCTTTTAAAAACTAAGTGTAAGCTGATGCACACTCACATGGCTGACTTTGCTATGAATAGCACATTTCTGCCACAGCTTGTCTTTTGCTGTGCTCATGTCTCTAGATCATGTCAACGGTCACGTTGGCTAGCACAACATACACAGCATAAACCAAAAACTGAGTGCACCTTTAGGAAATGAAAAGTACCATAAAAATAAGGTGAAGATCTAAATAAACAAATATTTTGACAACTGAAAATAGGCATGCGTGTCTCTGAATTGAATAAGTTAATTTTGGGCCATAAAGAAAAGTTGTTCACACTTTATTTTAAGGTCCAATTCTTGCTATTAACAAACCATTGACTACGACTTTGCCTCAAAGTCCTAATTTGCTGCTCATTAATAGTAAGCAAGGTAGCTGTTAAATTTAGGTATAGAGTAGGATTAGGGATGTAGAATATGGTCATATGCTTTATAATAGGGTGACCATACGTGCCATTTTCCCAGGACGCGTCCTGGCCAGGATTTCTATATTGCCTAAAATATCTAGGTTTTGGCTTTGTTTGCGTGTGCAGACCGATCGTTGTATGGTTCCTTATGCTTTCAAAATGCTCTCGAGGTATTTTGATGTCATACACCGATCGGTCTGCACACGCAAACAAAGCCAAAACCTAGATATTTTAGGCAATATAGAAATCCTGGCCAGGACGCGTCCTGGGAAAATGGCACGTATGGTCACCCTACTTTATAAGTACTAATAAACAGCCAATATTTTAATAATAGGTATACTAATAAGTAACTAGTTAACAGTGAGAATTGGTCCCTATAAGTGTTACTGAAAAGTTTCATACTATGTTGGGTGAAAAGTATATGCACTTCAACTGGACAGTTCACCGATAAATGAAACAATACCCTAGTGTTGTTCTAATGCCTTATGACCTTCTTTCTTTTTCAGACCATGAAAGGATAAATGCAAAAAAGTCCTGTTTGCACTTGTCCAGTGAACAGCAACTAGCCTCAAGCCTTAAAGAAAAATATTCAAAAGTATCATAGAATGATCACAATCGACTCGCTTATCCAAGTCCTCTGAGGGCTAACGATAGTGTTGATAAAATGAATAGAACTGAAATTTAAATTATTATTTAGCGAAAGTCCTGACCTTGGCCATTGGTCTTTCTGTGCGAGACTGTGCATTCATGAGACTGTATTAATGCAGAAGTTTATTTCAGCAAAAGCCCACCAGCGCAGCATTTCAGGAAATCAAGGTTAATCAAAATGAAACACACAGCTCCTAGAAAAATTATGCAGATACTTTCTTCTCTGAGGTGAATATCTCTTTAGTGTTCTGGATTTGTTCTCATGAGCTCACAGTTGTGCACAGCAGACCAATGACCAAGATCAGTATTTTCACTAAATAATAGCTTAAATCAAAAATGTAACAGCCTTATCATATGCCTCCAAAACACTTGGAAAATATGGCATAGGTCAAATGGGACCACTCTGTGATACTTTTGCTTCCTTTTCTGCTTGAAGCTGGTCGCTATTCATTGCGATTCAATGGATGTAAGCAAGCAGGACGTGTTTTTTAGTTCTCATTTTGTGGTCTGAAAAAGAAATAAGGTCATTAGAACACCAGGGCGAGGAAATAATTACTTAATTTTCATTTTTAAGTTAACTATCCCTGTAATATGAAAGAGCTTGAACATATAATATTAAAAAAAGCATAAAAGCAACTTACCTCTCTTGTTTTTTCTTCAACTTATCAGACAACTAAAAAAAAAACATGGCATTACCACTGGCATTTTTATCATTGAGCACACATGCTGAAAAACACGTGACACTTACTTTAGCATGTTCTTCTTGTAGTTTTGTGATTTCTGCCTGCTTGGACATCTGAAAATGAAAATAAATACATTACAACAAGAAAAGTCTTTTGTATGGGGTTAAAATATGAATAAGCATAACAATAAAAAATATACAATCTGGTATTTGAAAAAGTGAATCAATCAGAATCAAACTAAAAGATAAATTAACTGAAAATACAATATTTAATGTAGTAATTGAAAATACAAAAATGTACGACAAAATTAAAAAGAGTTATTTTTAATAAGCAAATTATCTATCAACCCTAGAAAACATTACAAATATTTAAACCTGCAAAATGCCAGTTTAATCATAGATATGAAAGTATTCTCTGGAGCAAGGTGAGCATGAAGGTGTCCAAAATTAGCACCCATGGCGCGGGTAAAAATACACACTCATCAGCAAAATGAATCCTAGCATTTTGTCCTTTTGTCTGTTTCCTGCTGTCCTGGGTATTTAGAGGGCAAAACTGATGTTTTTACCTCTAGTGTCTGGAGTTGTTCCCTCAGTAAGCATTTCTCCTCCATTTCCGTTTGAAGCTTTAATGCCACCTCTGAAACCCAGCGTTAACAGATATTAATGCACATGACCTCTACAATATCTTGAGTTTGAGAAGTGTTCAACTGATGCTCAGTCAAAGTCAAACCATTGTGCTGCTATTCGAAGATCCAAAACAAAACCTTCCCTGGTTCTACTCGGTTAACTCCTCAGTGAGTTTGATAAGGTCACAACTTTAAAAGGAAGTTGTCAGAAAGATGTACTCACCGCTCAGTTCATTATCTCGCTGTTCCGGTTTGACGCTTTGCACTTCGGCCTAGAGAACACAGCCGGAGACAAAAAAAACACAAATGAACAAACCTCTTTTTCACAAAAGCTTTTAACAGCAGGTTTGGTTTCTACAAAGCGGCTCCATATATATATATATATATATAAAACCCCAGTAAATACAGAAATTAGTGGATGTTGAAAGGAAAGCAATTTATGAAAGCTGACTATGTATATGGAAACAAATCAACCCCATTTACATCATTAATAAATGTTCCTGGACTTGTTGTGAATGATTCATAAGTGCAAGTTATTCTAAAGTTTTCTTAATGTTTTATTAGACTTTCTCACTAGACTATTGCGTGTGCGTGTCACATCTTATGCACATCTATGTTGCATTTTTAGAATGCTGTGCAAAGTTAAAAGTTGTTGAAAAAAAAATCATCTCAAGATGCACAGACCCTTAAAACAGATTTTCTGCTGACTTAAAGGGTTAGTTCACCCAAAAATAAAAATTAGCCCATAAATTACTCACCCTCAAGTCATCCTAGGTGTATATGACTTTCTTCTTTCAGACGAATCCAGTCGGAGTTATATTAAAAATTGTCTTTGATCTTTCAAGCTGTTTCATGGCACTCAGCGGGTGTTGCATGCATCAGTCTAAAAGAAGTTAAATAAAATGTGCCCATTCGTAAAAAAAAAAAAAAAAAGTGTCTCACACGGCTCCAGGGGGTGAGCAAAGGCCTCCTGTAGCAAATCAATGCGTTTTTGTAAGAAAAATATCCATATTCAAAACTTAATGTACACTGGAAGCAGTTCCGGGCTGATGACGTAAGAGTTCAGCGTTGCGCATGCGCCGGTGAGTCTCGTGAAAACCAACGTTTGTTAACTGGAGCAAAGGAAGCAAAGTTTCCTTACTTTAGCAAAGGAAAACCAGTCTCCTCTTGGCTTATATCGAAATCCTCCAACATTCTTCTTTACAAATAATAATAATAATAATAATAATTAATTACATTTATATAGCGCTTTTCTAGGCACCCAAAGCGCTTTTACATTGTCAGGGGGGTATCTCCTCATCCACCACCACAAATCCTCGTTTTGTACTTTTAATTAGTGACCGCTGTTTTGTTTTGATCTCTCCCCTGCGCTTCCGCGTGCGTCACTTCTGAGAGTCGCATGCGCAACGCTGACCTCATACGTCATCAGCCCGGAACTGCTTCCAGTGTACAACAGTGAGCACAAGCTACATTAAAGTGATTATTACGTTTTGAATATGGATATTTTTCTTACAAAAACGCATGGATTCGCTACAGAAGGCCTTTGTTCACCCCCCGGAGCCGTGTGAGACACTTTATTTTAATGGATGGGCGCATTTTATTTAACTGCTTTTGGACTGATGCATGCAACACCCGCTGAGTGCCATGAAACAGCTTGAAAGATCAAAGACAAATTTTAATATAACTCTGGATTCGTCTGAAAGAAGAAAGTCATATACACCTAGGATGACTTGAGGGTGAGTAATTTATGGGCTAATTTAAATTTTTGGGTGAACTAACCCTTTGAGGCAAGTACATCAGGCTGGGAAATAATATTAACCACTAACATCATAACCTACCATCCAATCAGGATAAAATCAAGTCCCATTCTACATTATTTACCGCTGGATATTCTGTTTCAATTTCAAGAAATTTCACATATTATGGTATTGGGAATGTTTAAAAAAAATAATAATTGACAAACTATATAAAGAATAACCCATTAGCTGCAGCCATCATTTGATCAAATTTGGTAATGCTAATGAATGGGGTGTGGTAGTCAAACACTAGACTCCAGTTCACTGTCCTTATATTCCCTTACTGGGCTGATCTCACAGAAAAAGCTGATGGTGGTGTCTCTGCTGTGTCTGGCCACAGTTCATCCAGCAGCTGTAAACCCTGCATTAAACATGACCTCTGAGAACTCCAGCAAACTCCTCGTAATAAAGAGTGCAGCACTGCGTAGCTGAATAATTGATTTACTCTGAAACTCTACTGTTAGGATACTCTGTCTGAGTAAACTAACTTGTTTACATTGACTGAAACTGGTATTTTTAGAAAGTCCACCTGTTCACCAAACACATAAAACCAGGAGATGCATGACAATCACACTCGATTGCAGTATAGATGGCTTCATCGATTGTCATCTGAGAGTTCTGATATTCCTGCACATGGTGTAATTATTATACCAGCAGAAGCTGCAGTCATTTCATTACATTGGTTCTTTCACTCTGAACCTCCACTGTATGATACAGCAACCCAACCCTGGTGAGACTGAAACCCATTATCTGTTACCTGATCAATCTGATCATTTCCTGGGGCCGAAGGGTCATCACTATGACCGCTGGCATCTGATTGGACACCATTAGTGCCGGCCGATCCATCGATGAGTGCTGCTTTTCCATCATTAACATCTGCACATTCTTGAAGAGCTGTATAGATGCCCAGAGAATACTATAATCAAGCTCACTTCTGAATTCTTAGACTAAATTGTTTGTAAGGAAAAATAGATCAGGACTATATGGATAAGCTTCTCTCACCTTTTAATTTCTTCTGCAGGGCGGAGTTTTCAGCCTGCAGACGGAGGAGTTCAGCATCCACTGGACCAGAGGCAGGGCTGGAGGCGGGTCCTTCCAGCCCTTGACCCTCCCTCAGTCTCCGATTCTCTAATTCTAACTGCTCGATCTGGGAACATAACTAAAACATAGGGCAAAACATCAGAAAAATTATGTAAAAACTCATTTGATTTTGGTGTGACAACATATAATGGGCACAAAGGCGTGTACTGTCTTTGTGTTCAACAAAAAATGACATCATCTGTAATGTGCAACTTTTGTTCTAGCGCTTATAGTACTGTTCAAAAGTTTGAGGTAAGATTTTATTATTATTATTTTTTTTTTTTTTAATTATGTTTATTCAGGAAGAACACATTCAATTGCTAAAGTGAGATAAAAGACATTTATAATATAATGTTTCTATTTCAAATAAATTCTGTCCTACTGAACTTTCTATTCAATATTTTAAAACTACTATTTTAAAATATTCAAATGATTTCTGAAGGATTGAGTGATGCTGGATACTGGAGTAATGGCTACTGAAAATTCAGTTGTCATTACAAGAATAAATCACATTTTAAAAATATATTCAAATAGAAAACAGTTAAAATTGTAAAGAAATATATATATTTCAAAATATTACGGTTATGCCTTTTGATTTCTAGTATACTTGTGCATAAAGTGACTGAGTTCACATGCTCATGGTCATGACAGGGGTTAAATATTGTGTGTGTGCTCAGCACCTTGGACAGCTCTTGCATGAGAGTGCTGTTCTGGAGTCTGAAGTCATCTTCCTGACTGTGTAACTTGCCCTGAAGCATTTTATTCTCACTGAGTAAGGCATCTACCTCCTGAACGTGAGAGAATAATACAGCATGGTTACCAGACAGAGATTTTTCCCATACCACTCAGGATATCATATAATTACATTTGTATTAATAGCAATTAATGTTAGAAAAAAAACAACACTAATATAAGGAGAAATCTCACCTGTGCTTTCTTGCTCTTGTTCAAAGCCTGAGGATGAAAACGAAAACGAAAATATTATCTAAACTAAATTGTTAACTAAAATAGAATCAATCATAAAATACCACCAACAGATTTTGTTTCTTCATCAGAACAGATTTGGAATAATTTAGCATTACATCACTTGCTCACAAATTAATCCTCTGCAGTGAATGGGTGCCGTCAGAACGAGAGTCCTAAAAGCATCACAATAATTTACAAGTAATCCACACAACTCCAGTCCGCTTCCTCCAGCAAAAATGCCCATCCCCTATTGTCCTCCCACATCAAAATATTAATTAATATAACATTACCAACAGTTTTAAGTTACAAACATCTTTATGATGGATTTGTTTCTTACAAACACACAGCTTTTCACTTCTTGAGACATTAATTGATGGACTGGATTTGTGTGGATTATTTTGATGTTTTTATCAGCTGTTTGGACTCTCATTCTGACGGCACCCATTCACTGCAGAGGATCCACTGATGAGTAAGTGATGTAATGATAAATCTCTCCAAATCTGTTCTGATGAACAAACAAGCTCATCTACATCTTAGATGGCCTGAGGGTGAGTACTTTTTTTTTTTTTAGCAAATGTTAATTTTTGGTTGAACTATTGCTTTAAAGATGAACTGTGCAAAACTAGTATGACCAAACAGAACTACTTTTAGCAAACTGCTTCACAGTGCCAATTCATACAGACTTCTGAGTGGTTTGGCAGTGCTGAGTCACGAACACAATGTATTAGATTGTCTTACAACATGACCAGTGCAAGACTAGTGGCCATGCATGCAAACTGTCTAGTTCACTGTAGGAAAGTAAGAAAAAGAAACACTAGGAGAAAAAAATGGAACAGACCAGAACAGTCAATTACTCCCAGCCCATTAAAACAGAAGGCAAGAAAACAGCACACAAAGCAAATTCTCAAGGCCAGCAGTAAAGCTTGACCTCTATCTCATGGCAATGACCTGCTGAAAAACCAAGGAAAGCCACTACCTTCTGCGCTTTGACATAGTCTTTCTCCAGGTTCGAGGTCTTCTGACGGACACTGTTGAGCTCTGTAACACAGAATAAATAAAGTTACAAAATGACTAAAAACAAAACCCTAAACTCACTTTATACAATGATACACAAATACATGCATTTATGACTTTTGACAAACAGCTGCACAAGCCGAAACTGCTGGTGCATATTGTTAATAATTAGCAGGACTATATAAAATAATACAAGTCAACATAATAGCCTGCATACTTGAAAGAGTTTTCTCAGAAAGTTCACTGATAAACAGGGTAGGATTGAAAAGTCATTCATAAGGTCTTAAGACGGTGAGTTGGTTAATATAACATCTAACTTTACTGACCAATAAGGAGATTTCATAACTGTAAACAATAAGTAAGCTAGCGCTGAAAAGTTTCCATACACTTTGCAGTTCTTATTCTGTTTTTGCATTTCATAACTATCAAAGTTAATTCCATAATTCTGGAATTCTGTTATATTATTATTCCACAATTTCACTTAGTACATGAATCCAGGAACTGCGTACAAAATTAATCAGGGACAAAATATTAACAAATAAATAATCAAATTTCAATTAAAAAAATTTCTGAAAATGAAACATCTTAAAATGTCTGAATTTATATACAGGTGCATCTCAAAAAATTTGATTATCGTGAAAAAGTTATATTTTTTTCAAATTTTCATATATTCTAGATTCATTGCATGTAAAGTAAAACATTTCAAAAGTTTTTTGTTTTAATTTTGATGATTAGAGCTTACAGCTCAGGACAGTCAAAAATTCAGTATCTCAAAATATTAGACTATTTCCTAAGATCAATCAAAAAAGGATTTGTAAAACAGAAAAGTTCAAGTTCTTTAAAGTATGTTCATTTATGCACTCAATACTTGGTCGGGGCTCCTTTAGCACAAATTCCAGCATCAGTGAGGTGTGGCATGGAAGCGATCAGCCTGTGGCACTGCTGAGGCACTATTGAGCCTTCAGCTCGTCTGGATTGTTGGATTGACTGTTTCTCATCTTTCTCTTGAAAAGAAAAGGTTCAGGTTAGGCATGTTGGCTGGCCAATCAAGCACAGTAATATCACGGTCAGCAAACCACTTGGAAGTGGTTTTGGCACTGTGGGCAGGTGCTAAAGTCCTGCTGGAAAAGGAAATCAGCTTGACAGTATTCTCGAGCTTGCGTCATCCCTGTTGCTTGTGCACCATTCCTACCTAATTTCTTCCTTCCAGTCAACTTTGAATTGAATATGCTTTGATACAGCACTCTGTGAACAGCCACCCCTTTCAGTAATGACCTTCTGTGACTTACCCTCTTTGTGGATGGTGTCAATGATTGTCTTCTGGACCATTGCCAAGTCAGCATTCTTCCCCATTATTGTGGTTTCAAAGAACAAGAGATACCCGGAATTTATACTGTAAGGATGGTCATTTAATTAAACTCAAATGTAAATATTCTAATATTTTGAGATTCTGGATTTTTGCCTTTCATGAGCTGTAAGCTCTAATCATCAAAATTAAAACAAAAATGTTTTAAATGTTTTACTTCACATGTAATGAATATAGAATATATGAAAGTTTCACTTTTTGAAATAAGTTACCAAACAAAATGAACTTTTTCATGCGATGCACCTGTATATACGTATATATACGCACACACAAACATTACCAGCTTTCATTTATTTTTATTTCAGTTATAGTTTTAGTCATTTTAGTACTTGAACTTAAACTTCTTTCACAGGACACTGCAACGCTTGCATTAATGAAACTCAAATGTAAATATTCGAATATTTTGAGATACTGAATTTTTGACTTTCATGAGCTGTAAGCTCTAATCATCAAAATTAAAACAAAACAAAAAACTTTTGAAATGTTTTACTTTACATGTAATGAATCTAGAATATATGAAAGTTTTTTCTTCAATATCTTTTTCAAGATATTCTAATTTTTTGAGATGCACCTGTATCTAAATCTTAAAATATTCAGTTAGAAGAATATGCTCAAGTTGATGTCAATAATTGAACACCACATTTGCATGTTCATGGTTCACTGATGACATGGTCACATGACATGCATTTAAATACATTTAAAAAAAATTTATATATTAATAATACAATACAAACTTTGTTTTAAAATAATTTATTCATTTTAAGTTTACACAGGATTGACGTTTATAAACAAACATGAATTCACTGATGTATTTTACGCTTCTGTAAATATTTAGTCACATTTTCCCACTAAGTTCAATATTTATAAGTTCATAACTAGACCAAGTTCTGAGTTACACACAACTGGTGCAACCGGCCCCAGGCCCTCAGACAACTCAGTTTTAACTGACAGAATTAGAACATCTATCTTTATACATCTTCCCCCAATGCGCATTCAATTATGAAATAAATTAGTAAATTTCATTGTGCTCTCAGTTACCAATAGGAGAGTTACTCTCACAACTTTTAGACAGAATCTACAGAATTCAACAGATTCTATATCCAAAATAAGCAGAGAAAATGTAAAGTTCAATGGAATAGGTGCGATAAGACATCTGATTTTTAATAACAACAAATTACAGTCTGTCGTGTTAACGACGCAAACAAGTTGGCCAGTGTTTTGAATAAGTAAAAGGTTTAGGTTTACATTCTCTACTCACCTGCTGTATTTTTCCGCAGCTCATCAGAGAGTTGGTAGTTCTGTGTTCTCAGCTCCAAGAGCTGAGCCTGATGAAGCACATTAAAAGATCAATTAATATAGCAAAACATACTATTTGAGGTAACAAGGTATTTGATATACATATTATTGATTTCTGTAAACCAGAAATAATAACCACCTAGACAACAAATCATCACACAGTCTCTTTTTATGTTATGAATCATGTTAAAACGGCTGTTTACAATGAATTAAGAGTTTATTCACGTAATGGAAACATTTAATTAAAGAGTCGGGTTGCTAACTATTTAATAGCCTAGCACTCACACGAAATACGTTTAAAGAACTAAATGTATAACGTACAAACCCTTTTAATGTGTAGAAAAGCAATAATATCAGCTGTTTGGTGTGCTAACGGTACTAATGGTTAGTAATTACAGGTTAGCCAGCTAACATTGTTATTTTATGTCACAAACTCGCCATATAGCGGCGATATTCCATGTCATTTCAACAAACCATGTCATTTTAATAGCGTAACGATTACATACATTAATGGAAAACATCGTAATTGTCCATTAAAATCATTTTTCGGCCTTATAACAATTAGCTTGCAGGCTAACGGCTACAGCTAACAGAGTCCCAATCCGCTCAGATGGACATCAACTTCAGCTATAAAATAGACCCGTTTGCACATATTCTCAACCGAAATGACTTCGAAGCGAGTTAAAGATCTCGTATGTGCAATACAGGTTGTATCCGATGTCAAATCCAAGCGCAAATAGAGAGATTTGTACCTGCATACGGTGGAACTCCTCTTCTGACAGTGCTTGCGCCATCTTCAATACAGTAAAACACTGCTGGACAGAATACAAACTCTCTCTGTCTGCTATTACTGTGTTTTCTGTCAACCTTGTATTTGCAAATTAACTGTCATCCTGATAAGATGAAGAAGGTTAAAGCTGCAGCTTTCTGATGCCCCCCAGCTAAACGCTTTGGCTTGCTGACAGAAACCCCGCTATGTGTAATGTCTGCACTTGTCCTGTAGATGGCGCACTAACACAATATATTCACTACTGTAGTTGTTGTGACACGTGACATGGGCTGTGGCTCAAAAACCTAGTGAGCTGACTGCCTAGACGGCACCTGTGGGGCCCTATGCTCATTTGTCCAAAATGAGTTGCAGATACAGATGGAGCATTCACCACAGACACAACCCATTCATATAACATGTGCATGTATTAAAAGCAATAGCAGTTTTTTTTAGTGTTCCAATGTGACCTAGTTATATTATCTAAAAAAACAACTTCTTAACATTTTGTGTGACAGATTGACATTTTCATGGTTGTGAGTGAAAAGGAAGCGGGAAAGCATATATGACTTCTTACTGTTGTAGGAGGAGATAAAAGGAACACATGATACACTCTGATAAGGTTTATAAGTCAATGAACTTTATTGTATCTGTAGAATAAACATCAGTAACTCTGGAAACATCTGAGTGTCACATGAGTTAGCCATTTTTACCAGTCAATAATTCTGTAATTTGATTTAAAATGGCATGAGGATTCATGCTGTTTGTGAACATCATAATTTTTTTAAGTAGTTGTTAAATATCTTAGCAAAACAAGCAACATATAAAAAGCAATAAAAATAACTTTGTTTTATATTTCTATTACAAATAAATGCTTTCCACACTAACTAGCAAGAATATTTAAGCAGCACATCTTTTTTCAATATTATTGATCATAAGAAATGTTTCTCAAGCAGCAGATCAGCATTTTAGGATGATTTCTGAAGGATCGTGTGACACTGAAGACTGGAGTAATGCTGCTGAAAATTCAGCTTTGATATCACAGAACTAAATAATATACTAAAATATATTAACATAGAAAACAGTTGTTTTAAATTGTAATATTATTTCACAATATTACTGTTTTTACTGTATTTCAGATCAAATAAATGCAGCCTTGGTAAGACAATTCTTTCAAAAAAATTGAAAAAATCTTACTGCTGCCAAATGTATGATTTTCTAGTTTCTACTAATTTAATACAAAAGCCTGACATTACAAATTGTGCTATCAGCAGAGCAATGCATGAAATGTTGAACAGAAAAATTAACATGAATTGGAGAACTTTTAACTGCATTTAGTTAACACGCCACCTATGAACCCAGAAACAAACATGCATGCAGTATATTCAATGCAGCCACATTTCCCATTTCATAACCCACAGAATTTACCATATAAAACATGGAAGTGAAACAGCAACTTGTGTGTTGGCCGGTATGTTACTCAAGGCTACAAGAGAGACAGAAGTCCAGTGTCTGATGTATTTGGTCTATCTGAACTCCCTCTGTCTGTGGAGCTCCTACCGGGCTGCGGGGCACTGGAATATTTTGGGAGGTGACAAATAAAGAGACGGTCCTCTTCCTTTTTGATCCATCGCAGCAGTTTAGTGAGTTCACTGATAGCGGATTTCTTAGTGACGAGCGGAGTAAAGCAGGCGAACATCTCAAACTTGCTAGTGACCTACAAAACAAGAGAGAGTTTAGGAAATACTGTACATACAGTATTTAATACAAATATTATGCTATTTAAAAGTTTGGGTTTGGTAAGATATTTTTGAAAGAGTCCCTTATATTCTCGCCAAGGATGCATTTATTTATTCAAAAATACAGTAATAGTGTGAAATATTATTACAAATAAATTATTAATTTATAAATGAAAATTTAAAAAAAATTTATATTTATTTCTGTGATGCAAAGTTGAATTTTCAGCAGCACAAGATCCTTCAGAAATCAATTTAACATGCTGATCTGGTGCTCAATAAATGTGTATTATTTTATTTATATCTTATTATATTTCTTAAATATTTCATCACTATCAATGATGAAAACAGTTGTGCTACTTAAGATTTTTGTGGAAACCATGATGCATGTTTTGCAGGATCCTTTGATGAATAGAAAGTTCAAAGGAAAAGCATTTATTTGCTTCTTTTTTTTTTAACTAATAAAATACAATTAATAAAATTCACTTGTCATTTTTTTATTGATTCGATTATTATTATATCTTGTTGAACAATGCTCAGTTCTATTTCTTGTTGAACATTTTAAACCCAGAACATCCTGATCTATTGACGTTGTCTTGATTCTTCTGAAAACATACCCATGCCAGCAGAGTTTCTTGGCCTGCAGAATGGTAGAGGAGTTTAAGTGGCCGTGATGTACTGTGGATCCGATTGTGCATGTTGCGATACAGATCCAGCAGGTGTATCCTCTCTTCCTGGCTTCTGTATGCCACCTCCATCTCTGGGCTGAGTGAAGTGATATTAAAATAAAGGCATCATATAGCACGCTTACAGTGTGTACTGTTGATTACAATTCACTAAGACGTGTGACATGGTCATACCAACTAAATTATTACAGTGGCAGAGATGTGTCTTATATAGATACATAGATAGACTGTCAATGCAAACCAGATGATGAAGAAAAAAACTCAAGTTTCAGTCAATTTGAGATAGAGACAGTTTAAACCTGTTTCAACACATCATGTGGACTTTGATGCATCTAATCATTTAGTTGGCCTTATTTGCTTGCATTTTTGCATAAAAGGCACCTCGCAACTGTGTCTGCTCAGGGTCTGAAACATTTCAGCCATGTGATTAGCCGAATCAAGTGCTTACTGTTGCAGAATTCATGGCAAAGCGGTCTAATCTTTCACAGAATGTGGAAATCCTGGCTTATAGGCCATCATTTATCAGGAATTGTGAGCCATCTGGTGTTTCTGATGGCAAAAAGAACCACTGATTCAGACAAATGAGTCAAAACGTTAATGATTTGCCCGTTTGCTTGTGGTTTAATGCTTTAGTGACACAGTTCAGCTTGAAGTTAATATTAAACTGCATTAACATTAAAGTGCCCCTATTATTGATTTTTTTTTATTACCTTTCATGCAGTGTGTAACACAGCGCTAAGTGAATGAAAACATCCTGTAAAGATTTCAATCTGAAAGTGCACCGTGTATAAAGTTATTGTCTCTCAAAAGAAAGTCGACTCTGAGTCTGAATCATTGAAGCTAGTCCTTTTTAAAACGAATCCCAAGCCGTTTCATGCTGAAGTCAACATGAAGCATTAGTATATTGCCCGCCCACTTGTTGGTGTTTTCGCCTTGGTCTGAATGAATATGCAAATTCATTCTTTGCCACTATAGGTGCTGCTTTTGGAGCGGTAAAAATAGCGGTTTTCCCGGTAATGCTGTACACAAAACAGCACTGCGCTCACAAACGCTGCTTTATCAGGCATTACTGGCATGATGAAATGGAAAGTAAATCGACCAATCGGACCACTCACCACAGATTAGCGTCATGCAAAGGAGGGGTTTGGAAAAATGAATCGTTGAGCGAATTGTTTGGGAGTCTTGAGCAAGTAAGGTAAAAATAAATGCATATTATAAGACAACAAAATAGTTTTTTGACCTTGCATGCATGTCAACCTGTTGTTGGGGATTCCCAAAACCAAAATATGAACATTCCATTGCCCATAATAGGGGCACTTTACTTTTTTGAAGTTGTAAATAAAAGTAAATTATTGGAGTCTTTCTACTTCAAAATTCTTCATTTAATTTAATTTTACTTGTCATTTCTTTTTAACTAATAGTGTACTAGACATTTCTGAGTGAAATAGTTGTTATACCATTTTTTACTGTACGTACTGTAATTCCAAGAGAAACAGAATGTTCAATGAGGAAAAAATGTAGGACAGGACTTTACTGGATGATGAAAAGTGGGTGTTTTTACATACAAGAACAGAGTTCTGAATTCTTCCTGCTTTTGAAAAGACTTTTTGACCAGGAATCTATTCTTATTTGTTATTATTGCCATAGCCTTTAATTAATTAATGTTAACTGGCATCCAAATAAGTTTAGAATGAATTACAATTACATTACTTTAATTTTGCTATTTTTAACATTATATTTCCTATCCATGAGGCCTAGGCGACATCAACTGGAGAGGAAAGTTCAACCATTTTCATGAAAGCCAATGAAGGGGAACATTTTTTTAGTTTGGATGATGAATTGTGCACAATAAGACCATGAACATGCAATAAGAAAGTAAAAAGGGTCTATTTTAATTTCATATTGTCATTTAATGACTCGTCATAAGCTACTCACCATGTGAACTGTGGCAGTTGGCGATGGTGGTCTAGCACTTTTGAGGGCTTGTAAAGGAAGTGCTTAAGATTAGCTACACCGATATCGTCAACGTAGTAAAACTGAGTGTTTGCCACCCACTGCAAGGCATTCTGGGATGCGAAAGCTTCCTCAATTTTCCTTTTGCACTCTGCCATGGCATAAAACGCTTCTTTATCTGTAGACAGAAGAACAAGGCATACAGTACATTCTGGAGGGTCTAGATACGCCACATAAGCATAAAAGTAGCAGTCGTGATTGAACAGAGGCAGGCAGATGGGCGTCCATATCTCTCCAGCCTGAAAAGCAAAGGAGGCCCTGATCAGGTTGCAGAGGAGATGAAGGTCACTGGGTTTTAGTCTAGCGTCCTCCAGGACCGTCTTCTCCTGAACGACGGAGACAAGTCGGTTATTGGCAATGAGAAAAGAGAAGACCAGATTCGGTGTGACGGCTTTCTGTAGGATGTGACTGAGGGCGTCTCTGGAAGAGGAGGGCAGAGGCAGGCATTGGACGGCCGACAGCATGAAGCTGGGATCAGAATCCATGACATCGAGGAGGCCGTCCAGAACCTTCTCCGAGCCAAACAGCAGACGCCGCAGGTCGAAGTTCTTGCGGCGCTCAAAGATGCAATTTATGCTGGCCTGCGTGAGCATGCTGACTATCTGATGATAAACATGGAGGAGCTCACTGCGCAGCTGCTGTTCGGACTGGCGAGTGGCAGAAACGGATACAAACACAAGCGGACCCTTCTGCAAAAAGACCACTGTGTGCTCATCTGAGGGAAAGAACAGAATAATATTAGCTGTTGTCTGGTCAAATTGGTCCAAAATAATTTATATATGTATAGACCCTAATTACATGCAGAATGTAAAGATCCAATGTAATCTTTTCTGTGTTGACACCAGATGTTCATACGTTTGTTTATATATATATATATATATATATATATATATATATATATATATTATATATGTATTTTAGGCTCACCAAGGCTGCAGTAAATACAGTAATATTATGATATGAAATATTATTTCAATTTAAAATAACTATTTTATATATTTTATAATTATTTATATAATATAACCATTTGTAGTAATTTATTTATGTGATGCAAAGCTGAATTTTCACAGTATTCATTTGAAATATTGATACAATGCATCACAATATTCATTAGAAATAGTAATTCATTTTAATATGCTGATTTGGTGCTCAAGAAACATTTATTATTATTATCAATGTTGAAAACAGCTGCTTTATATTTTTGTGGAAACTGTGATGCATCTTTGTCAGGATGCTTTGATGAATAGAAAGTTTTTAAAGATCAGCATTTATTTGAAAAATAAATATTTTGCTGTCGTTTTTGATCCATTTAATGCATTGAATAGTATATTTAAGAGATTAAATGTCTTAAGCCCTTAAATATTTTATATAATTTATATAAGATTAAATGAAATATTTTGTTGTCGTCCAAGAAGAAGAATGTACATTTCAAAGTTTACACAGTAAATTTACATGTAAATATATATGTAAATATATATGAACTTCAACTTTAACCATATATTTAAAGAAGCTGCATGGTTTCAAAGAAATTTACAACCTGAACCTTTTTTTAAGTTCTTTTGTTCTTCAGAAATGTTATTTTTGTTGTTGTTAAACTATAGGTGCTGCAAAGAACCTTTATGTATTAGACAGTTTAAAAAACCTAGATGAAGATGGTGCATCTCACCTGAAAAAATAGACTGAATCATGTTGCCTCCAGCCTGGACGAAGGAGACCAGCGCCATCATGACACCCATGGTGGAGGAGAGGGCCTCCTCATTGCCATAGCGTGAGTAGATGGGCTTCCCTGCCTCGCTCAGCACAAACACATGCTTCCTGTGTTGCCTCCAACTCTCTGACATTATATCTTCATTCCTATAAGCTATACCATCCACAGCGGAACCTGCCTTTTTCTGCCCATTGAAGTTCGCCTGGGCCAAAGTAGATGGAAAATTACCAGTCTCCTCTATTAAGGTGTCCTCAGGTTGAAACTCCCAACTTCCTCTATTATCGCTCCTGTGCATGTTGTCTGTTTCTCATTTCCCTCAAAGCAAGAATCTTCTGGACTTGGTGTTTTTTTTTTGTTTTAAGGCTGCAAACACGTGTTCTACTGATGTCACACAATGGATCTCTGTGGCTCTCCATTACTCAGTCTGGAATCCCAGAGGTATCACATGATGCCTGGGGATCAGAGAGCGGTTAAAACTGTGTAATAGGATGAACATGATGCTTCATTTCTCGCTGAAAGAATTATTTCTAACTGATCTGTGGCAGTGCTGACTTAGAGGAGGTTAAAGTGGGACATGAAACTGATTGAATGCTAAAGAACTGTCAAAATGAGGAAGCAGGCTAAAAATAAAAAGATGACATCAAGGTTTACAATCAGGAATATTTGGAGAGAGTTACAGATCAGTTGATTTAACCATCACACCTGCCTACATTTATTGATCATGTATATATATGTATTAGCTGCAAATTGTGCTCATTTAAAGGGGGTCATATGATGCGATTTCAATTTTTCCTTTCTCTTTGGAGTGTTACAAGCTCTTGGTGCATAAACAAGATCTGTAAAGTTGCAAAGTCTAAAGTCTCAAATCCAAAGAGATATTCTTTATAAAAGTTAAGAGTCAGCCACACCTACCTAAAACGGCTCGTTCTAACACGCCCCCACATGTCTACGTCACTGTGTGGGAAGATTTGCATAACGCTGCCCAAATGTTCACGCAAAGAAAGAAGGCGTAACTTTTATTCTCGCTGTAGTATTGTTGTTGCCGCCGCCATCTCATGAAGGCGCTGTGTGCTTCGTTGTGAAAGCGAAACTACTTTGTTTGGTCTTCCAAAAGAGGACGATATCTGCTTCGTCATGCCTGGAGCTGATCCGTGCTGGTTGCTGAGGAAATACTACAAACTTTGTGCTGCACACATCCTATTCAGATGTGTGCAGCACATTTTATGGAGGACTGTTTCCTGATCCTGGTAGAGAAGACTACAATGCAGACTGTTCTGACTCACAGACTGTAAGTACGTTTTTTACTACGTTTTTATATTTTATATATTTAAAAATAGTTTTTTGGGCAGTGTAGAGTAGGGCTTGTTGTTTGTCATTTCTCCGATCACAAATGCAGACATGGTTTATGTTTACGCGCGCAATGCAACGCAACGCATAAAAAGACAGTATAAGTCATTATAATCCATAATTATGTCCTGGATGCAATGAATGCCTCGTTTATAAGGGTTTTCATGTTTTTGTCTCGTTGCTCTGGCCTGACAGGGCATCATCACAATATGTTAAGGGGCGTAACATTTCCGTCACACGCTTGAGGTATTCGGCCAATCACAATGCACTGGATAGCTGGCCAATCACAGCACACCTCGCTTTTTCAGAACGATGAGCTTTGTAAAAATCGACGCGTTTCAAAAAGGCGGGGCATAGAGGAGAAACAATAATGTACAGTATGTGGAAAATAATGTTTTTTTAAACCTTAAACCGCATAAACACATTTCATTACACCAAATACACAAAATACTGTTCTTTTTAGCAACATCATATGACCCCTTTAAATATGTCACTACTGCAAGAATGATTTGTGATCATAATGATTTGCATTGTGGAATCAGTCACAGAGTTTTATTATAGCTGTATAATACACACACACACACATACATACTGTATTTTCTATCCCCTTACCCTAAATCTACCCGACACAGAACTTTCTGTATTTTTAGATTTTCAAAAAACTTAATTCTGTATGATTTATAAGCTCGTTTCCTCATAGGGACCAAAAATATTCCCCACACGCTCAAAATGTACTGATCCTTGTGGGAACATTTAGTCCCCTAATGTAGGGAATTCCAAACACAAAGATAGTACATAGTACAAAGTTAGCATGGCATCATTGCACAGCACATAGCTCCTTAACATGACAATTTTTAAATAAATAAACTCCCATAGACATGCATGCATACCAAAAATGTCCATAGTAAACATATTTTTTTCCTGAATGGTGGTTAATATTCAATTTAATCATAAATTAATAAGCGTTTTTTTGTTGTTGTTGTTGTTGCAGAAACTGTGCTTGAATTACTGCATGGCAAGCAGTTTTGGGTTTGTTTGTGTTCTACAACACAGACAGAAAGCGGATCAGTACAGTTAAGTGCACCATGTCCACCATGTGGAAAGTTCCTGCTTGGTACTTACAAGTTCAGAAATCGTAATTGTGACATTTGGTGCGTTCACGTGATTTTGGTCGCTGGATATTTCTCTTTCTATTTCACTTTCCGATAAAGACGAGAATGATTTAGCACTAATGCAACATAATGAAGCGCAAACGATGTGCATTGTGTGACTGTTGCGTTTTTCTGCCGCCACAAAGGCTGATGGGAATCGTAGTTTATGTTCGCAAGACTAGCCTCACACAAATCCAATAGTATCAGTTGAGCTAAATGAGCGCGTAGTAGTGTCTCCCTAACCCTACAGGTGAGGTTCTGACAGCGGATTGGCTGGAATGATAAAGCGGGCGTGGCGACGGCTGGTGATTGACACACCGTCGTAAGTGAAGGTGACCAACAGAAACACCAGCGGGAGAAACTTCCCTGTGTCAGTTTTGCTGCCTGGATAACTTTACTAAGGTGGAAACGGAGCAGTTCTGCTGTCGAACGATCGTATATTAATAGTTAAGATTGTACAAGGAGTCGAGTATCAAAAAATGACGGAGTAAGATGCTGGAGAGAGTGATTATATGGTGATGGAAGCGCACCTGTTGAGGTTCGTGGAGCGGGTCCGCTGTCTGTCCGACACTAATGACAGCAGTGGAGATCCGCTCATCTCCACAGAGTTCAACGTAAGTCCTACACTTTTACACGAGCTTTTTAGTTATATATATGTATATCTATATATTATTTAACAGGTAATTATATATCAGTTCAAATGTTTTTGGATAGCCTCCACTGTCATATTTCTCAAAGTTCCGTGATTGAAAAACCACACTTGTCAAAATGTCATTTTAGCATCCTTCTCTTTGTGAAACGTTTTGCTTGTGAAGTGGGTTGTGCTGTCTTTCTTGGTACTATGGTAATCCCATGTTTTTGGACTCTACTTTGATGTTATTTGATCTTTTACAGAAAATAATGTGCTGATATAGTGATGATACCATTTAGTATAGAAGTAGCCTACATGGTACTCTCAGGTACTTTTAAAAATGCCATGGTTTTACATGGTACATGACAAAAACATAGTATTACCTTGGTAATTTCGGGTACGGCTTTGTAAGTGAAGTTCCTTGGAGTAGTAGCCTATGTAAATACCAGATATGTGACCCTGGAGCACAAAAGCAGTCATAAGGGTCACATTTTTGAAACTGAGATTTATACATCATCTTTCCATTGATGTATGGTTTGTTAGGCTATAGGGCAATATTTGGCCGAGATACAACTGTTTGAAAATTTTCGAATGTGAGGGTGCAAAAAAATTTAAGTATTGAGAAAATCGCCTTTAAAGTTGAACAAATGAAGTCCTTAGCAATGCATATTACTAATCAAAAATTAGGTTTTGATATATTTATGGTAGGAAATTTACTAAATGTCTTCATGGAGCATAATCTAATCTTTACTTATACTATCCTAATGACTTTTGGCATAAAATCGAACATTTTGCCCCATACAATGTGCTGTTGGCTATTGCTACAAATATAGGCTACCCGTGCGACTTAAGATTGGTTTTGTGGGCCAATGTCGCATATACGAATATGGGTGTAGGAAATTTACAAAATGTCTTCATGGAGCATAATCTAATCTTTACTTATACTATCCTAATGACTTTTGGCATAAAATCGAACATTTTGCTGGCTATTGCTACAAATATAGGCTACCCGTGCGACTTAAGATTGGTTTTGTGGGCCAATGTCGCATATACGAATATGGGTGTCATTCAGTTCCACCACCACCATGTCATGGCATTACAATGGTTTTAGACGTGTTTTCATGATTATAGTGTTCTTTGAAGTACATTGGACTATCATGCATATGATTATGGTAATAAAAGTTCCATGGAGTTACCTTAATATACTGTATCATCAGTGTACCATGATACAATGACAGTACGTTTTTGAGTATATGAAAATATATGGTCAATATATACAGTGCTGTGAAAAGGTTTTTGCCCCCTTCCTGTTTTATTTAATTGTTTGCATATTTGTCACACTTAAAAGATTCAGATCATCAAACAAGTTTTAATATTACACAAAGATAATGCAAGTAAGTACAAAATGCAGTTTTTAAATGATGATTTCAATTATTAAGGGAAAAAAGCTGTCCAAACCTACCTGGCCCTACGTGAAAAATTAATTGCCCCCTCCTGTTAAATCATGAAAGAACGGCAATTAACCACATTATTTTAGAAAGCTGAGTTAAATTTCACTAGCCACACGCAGGCCTGATTACTGCCAGACCTGTTGAATCAAGAAATCACTTAAATAGAACCTGTCTGACAAAGTGAAGCATGCTTAAAGAGCAACACATTATGCCGTGATCTAAAGAAATTCAAGAACAGATGAGAATCAAAACAGTTGACATGTATCAGTCTGGAAAGGGTTATAAAGCCATTTCTAAGGCTTTGGGACTCCAGCAAACCACGATCAGAGCCATTATCCACAAATGGAGTAAACTTGGAACAATGGTGAACCTTCCCAGGAGTAGCCGGCCAACCAAAATTAGTCCAAGAGCACAACGACGACTCATCCAAGAGGTCATAAAAGAACCCAGAACAACATCTAAAGAACTCCAGGCCTCACTTGCCTCAATTAAGGTCAGTGTTCATGATTCAACAATAAGAAAGAGACGGGGCAAAAACGGCATCCATGGGAGAGTGCCAAGGCAAAAGCCACTGCTGACCAAAAAGAACACAAAGGCTCATCTCTCATTTGCCAAAAAATATCTTGATTATCCCCAAGACTTTTGGGCAAATATTCTGTGGACTGATGAGACAAAAGCTGAACTTTTTGGAAGGTGTGTGTCCCGTTACATCTGGCGTAAAACCAACACAGCATTTCATAAAAAGAACATCATACCAACAGTCAAACATAGTGGTGGTAGTGTGATGATCTGGTGCTGCTTTGCAAAAAAAACAGGAAGGGGGCAAAAACTTTTTCACAGCACTGTAAAAGGACATTTCCTACTGTATGAATGTGCATATTTTTATCTTTTTGTCACTAGTTTTATGAGTGAGAACAGTTTTATCATAGTGTTAATAACTTTTAGCAAACTGCTAATTTGCATGTCTTTGCAAATGAGTTGATTACTGCAGGCTAGATTACACAACATCACGCGACATTTGCATGAGCTACAGTAAACAGAGGTGAAGGATCTCACTGCTGATTCCATTTAGAACATTCTGAGAATGTTCGAAATTTCTCTCAACGTTATGAAGAAGTGTAATTAATGTTAGACTGCACAAGTTATGTGGCCTTTAATAATGTTCTCAAAACAATGGCACAAAAAGTTCATGGAATGTCTTTAGTTAGACGTTCTTCGACTTGTTTTACAACGTTCAGAGATCCTTCAAAAGTAACATCCCCTTAATGTTTTCATTAACGTTTGCATAGCAAAGAAATCAAATGCTTTTAAAACATTAAACAATGGAATGTTTTCAACTTTCAGAGAACATCAGAAACGGTTTTGGGCAAGTTACTCTAGAAAAGTAATTTATTACTAGCTACTAATTACATACAGTGTAATTAGATTACTGTATAATTATTACTCTCTCTAAAAAGTATTGCATTACTTATGAATTGCTTTCTAATTCTCATATCAACCTTGACTAGTTGAACGATACAAAGATATGAAACTGCTCTTTTAATTCTTTTAAATAAATAATATAAAATTCCGTAAATTATTCTTGAACTGACCAAAATTTAAAGGGTTGCATTAAAAACACCTATTTTAACACTAGGTGTTGAATTTTGATGTTAAATACACTATTGTTTTGTTCTATAGTCTATACAGTATAATTAATTAGTATTCCATTACTTTACTTTCTCAAGGGAAAAGTAATTAAAGTACAGTAATTAATTACTTAATAATACACCCAACAACTGGGAGGGATGTGAGGGCCAGAGCATCATATATACAGTCAGACCAACATTTTACAGAAGTATCTGTTGCTTTTTGTCTCATTTCGGCTACATTAGTAAAAGTAAGAGGGGATTTGTAACCAGCACAATCTACAGTTCCTCATTTAGTTTCTCATTTATTAACTACAGGCAGCATTCACAGACAGAAGTTGAAGCCTCTGTGGAAAAAACACTTGAGACTGCAGTGCTTGTGGTGAAAGGGGCAGATGCTGGGTTGTGATGCTCTGTGGCTTCATTGGCGGAGACCTAACTGAGAGCATCGCGTTGAAAATAGCCCATGTGTTGTGATCTCTTCTGCTTTTAGAGAATGGAAGTAAAACAGAGAGCCGTTTTAGTCATGGAAGTGTAGCTACCTCTGTTTACAGATATTTATAGCCTGCTTGTTTGTCTGAGAATAATTGAAGGCTTTCCTGTTACACTAACAGTATAGCATGATGCCAGCAACAGTCATAGGTTTGATTCCCATTAATGAGTCAAAAGTATACCTTGAATGCAATGCAGATGGCTTTGCATGAAAAAAGCATCTACTAAATGCGTAATTGTAAATGTAGTAAACATGTTATACTGGAGGTTTCAAGTGTTTATTGAGGTTTGATCTTGAATGTTTCATAAAGCACATCCTCCCTCGAAAAACTAATACCCTTTTCTTTGCTTTTGTGAGCTATTTAAAGGAATGCGACGTTGTATGGCAATGCAAACAAGCATTAGGACACCACCTTGTGGTCAGATGCTGCAGTTCATCTACATGCTACTAAAATGAGAGGGATGCTTGTTTAAAAAAAAAAAAAAAAAGTGTTTTTTCTTTCCTTTTTCAGCTGATCCGACAGAAAAGTGCAACACTGAAAGAGGATTATGGCCTGACCACTGCGGTAGGAGAAATCAAAGAAAATGCGAAGAAAAACCGCTATAGGGATATTCTGCCCTGTACGTAGGATTATCAGTAAAGCTTTCTTTGTTCTGTTATTAAGGCTGTTTCTAGGTGAAGCAGTTTCTCGAATTGAATTCAATGCAATTCACTCTATACAATTTTACAAGTTTTAAGAGATATGTGCTAACCAATACCATGACCATGTTCTGTCATGTTATTGTTCTGCCAACGTTTTAGGTAATATTTACAATTCAGTGCAATTTAGACAGTCCTGCAGTGAGACGCATATTTTATGTGAAAAAATGTATTTAATATAGTTAATAGGTTGATATTAATTAG